AGGGGGTGGATGGTGTCTTTAGGATCAGGACATAAAAAAAACACAAATACAAAAGACTATACACACACACACACACACACACACACAAATATATTGTCGGAGAAGAATGGTGGGGTTGGAAGTGTGTGTGAATTTGGGTTTGTGTGTGTTTGATTGCGTGTGCTTGCGTGGGTTTGTGTGTGTGGGGGGTGGGGGTGGGGTTGCTTGTTTGTAAGTGTGTGTGTGTGTGTGTTTGTGGATGGATATGTATGTGTCTGTGTTTGTTTTGTTTGTGTGTGTTTGGGTTTGTTAATGTATGTGTGTTGAGTTTGCTTGTTTGCTTAGGTTTGTGTGTGTATATGTTTTTGTGTGTGTTTTTTTTTGTGTGTGTGTGTTTGTGTTTCTGCGTATATACTTGTATGGTTATGTGTGTGCGTCACCTTCTTTATTTGCGTAAATGTACTTCCTTGCAAACGATGTAACCACACGAAATAACCACAAACGAATGATACACCCAACATCCCACAAACAATAAAACCTCGACACCCAAAAAACACCAGAAGCTATACAACCCCCAAATAACACACAACCGAAAAAAATACACATAAAAAATACACAACCAAAATAACTACACATAATAAAAAAGACAAAAAAAAAAAAAAATACACACAATCGAAGAATACTAAACAAAAAAACTACACACAACAACAAAACTACAACCCCCCCCCAAAAAAAAAAAAAATAAAAAAATAAAATAAATATATATATATATACATACGCATCAGAAGGAACCTTACCGGCTATTCTGACGGAGAAGTCGCGGCAGCACTTGGCCAGCTCCTGGTCCCGGTGGCAGTAGGTGCCAGGCGGGCAGATGGTGCCGCCCTCGCCGCAGTAGAGGTCCTCGCCGGTGGACGGGTTGATGAGGGGCGAGGTGCCGTTGCACGCCCGCGTCTTCTGGGCGGCTGGGGAGAGGGGGGGGGGGAGGGCGTGGTTTAAAAGGAAGTTTTTTGTAAAGGTTCCATAAAGTTATGCATACGTGTACGCAATCAAGCACACAACACGTACACATAGGTACTCGCACACATACGGACACATACACACACACACACATACTTATTCATACGCATATACACTTATGAATAAATAGATAATTATACAGATACATATACATTATATATATATATATATATATATATATATATATATATATATATATATATATATATATATATATATATATACATATATACATATATGTGTGTGTGTGTGTGTGTGTGCGTACGAATGTACACACACATATTTACTTTAATATCTATATATATTATATACACACACACTTATATATGTACACACACACACACACATATATACATACATATGTGTGTGTCTTTGCATACGAAATAGAGGAGAGAGAGAGAGAGAGAGAGAGAGAGAGAGAAGAGAGAGAGAGAGAGAGAGAGAGAGAGAGAGAGAGAGAGAGAGAGAGAGAGAGAGAGAGGAGAGAAGAGAGGAGAGAGAGAGAGAGAGAGAGAGAGAGAGAGAGAGAGAGAGAGAGAGAGAGAGAGAGAGAGAGAGAGAGAGAGAGAGACAGACAGACAGACAGACACAGAAAGAGGAAGCGACCGCAAGAGACAGCGAAGATGAAAGAAGCGCTGCGTCCGACGGCCGGATGAACGAAAGGAAGATCAAAGACAAGTCCGGAACAGATGACGGAAAAGCAAACAATGCAAAGGAGAAGTAATCAAAAACGCCGGTTTAGAGAGACGAACAAGAATAACAGGGGAATAATGAAAAGAAATGGAGAGAGTAAACAGGTAGAATAAAAAACCGAAAGAGAAACAAGAAGGGTAATAAGAAAATGAATGTCAGGGAAAAAAAATGGACAGTAGTAAACAAAGAACACTAACAAACGAAACAAAGAACGAGGCTAAAGAATACCAGAAGAAGAAGAACGAAAAAAAGACAAAGAAAAAAAAGAAAGAGAAAAAAAGAAAAAGAAAAACAAAAGGAAGGATAATAAGAAAATTAATATCAAGGAAAAAGAATGAACAATAGTAAACAAAGAACAAGGATACAGAATACCAAAAGAAGAAGAAGAAGAAGAATGACAAAGAAGAAAAAAAAAGAGAGAGAGAAAAAAAAAACAAGAAAAAGAACAACAAACCAAAGCACACCACCAACAAACAACAACAAAGCCAACGCCACAGCTCACCTGCGCACTTCTCGACGGGGAGAACGAACAGCTCCACCTGTATGTTGCAAGCGTGCAATCTCATGAGGCATTCCGACTCATAGAACTCCATGTCACTCCCACACACAGGCTCATATCTGGGCGGCGGCGAGCAGTAGAAGTCGCAGATGCATCGTGGGCGTCCGTCTGATGCGTCCGCCTTACACTGGGCGCCCGCGATGCACTTGTAGGCGTGGCAGGGGTCTTCTGGACTCGTGGGCGGCAGGGGCGTGGGGTAGATCACGTCTGATGATGGAGGGGGAGAGTAAAAAAAAAGGGCGGGGGGTA